ACATATTTATGTAGCTCTCCTACATAACATCACCTAAAAGGGGATGTTAACAGTTTTCGGTGCCTTCATTTTTTTCCTTCTCTTCAAAATGAAAATAATGTCAGAGAAGTGTATGCTACTGAGTTGTCACATCTTAAAAATATTTGCAAGTATCCCAATAAAAATAATCTCCAAGTTAGGTATTGAATTTGTTTGGATATAGCATTTAAACCACAGCTGCAGCCCTAAGCAGACCGTGTAGGGAAGGAGCCCTACTGAGTGCAAGGGAGTTACTCCTGAGTCAGCTCTTGCAGGATCGCACCATGGCTGAGCTTTGCCCCCTCCCCACCTTGAATATTTCCATTCAGCTGCTTTGACTATTGGTAAACTTGAGATATTTATACATGCAAAATTAGCATGTACTTTCGGGGCACCGCATCTTAAAGTGTGTGTGCAGTGGTGTGTGTGTGTGTGTGTAGGGAACATTGCAGAGCTGGAAATGGTGCACAAAAGGGCAACCAAAAAGATCCAGGGGCTGGGACAACGAAGTCCGGAACTGTTTCACTTACCAAAGCAAAAGCAAGTAAAGGCAGGTATGACCGAGGTGCATAAAATTATGATGGCACGGAGAAAAGGAACCAAAAGCGGACCCCAGAATGATGGAACTCAAGGTTATTCCATGAAACTGAAGGAGGGAAGATTCAGGACAGAGAAAGGCAAATGCTTCTTCACCTGGCACATGGCTGAACTATGACGCTCACAACTCAAGATGCAGATTGGCCACCAACCTGGACAACTCGAGAAAGGGGGCAGGAGGACCCTGGAGGGCGGCCAGTGGCTCCTGGTGCTGCAGGAGGGGGGTGCCCCTGTGCGCCGGCCGGTCGCTGCTGGGCACAAGTGGGGGGCTTTGTTCCCGCACCCTCTCCTGCCTGTCCTTCTCCCCCAGGCTGTGGGGCAAACAGAATGCGGCCTGGGCAGATGCCAGGTCTGATTCAGCAAAGGGCCTTTTCCCGCGACACATGCCAACTGAGCATACAACGTGTGAACCCGCTTTTAGAAATGCGCGTCACTGCCTGGCACGGACGGAAGGCAGCCCTTGCACAGGGCTCGCCCAGGCTGCTGATTTGCACCTGGTCTGAGCGCAGGCAACAGCACAGAGAGCTACCAGCTGGTGCAGTGGTCAGAGTGCTAGACTGGGACTAGGGAGGCCCGGTTCTAGTCCGGTTCTAGTCCCTGCTCCCTGGGGGGCTTGCAGGCGGCCCCTGATGAAGGTCTAACCTAGCTCACAGGGCTGTTGTGAAGATCAACCGGAGAGGACGACACACATCTACTCTGCCCAGGGCTCCTTGTAACAAATGAATATTTTAAATATTTAATGAATATTTTAAAGCTCCTTTTGGACACGCCCTCAGAGAGTTGTTCCCGCAATGGTGCGGTGAAGAAATATATTTTGAAACAGGGTGGTGGGAAGCCTGCATGAAGGAGGGAAAGTAATTGCTCTGGGTACACATTAACCCAAGGAGAAGTTATTCTGTAGGTAAACCCTGGAGCCAGCTGCTCATTTAAATCCAGACTCCAGATCAGTAGAAATAAACCATGACGTGGGCATGAATTATTCAGTGCTGACAGAGCAATGGTTTCTTGCCTGAGAGCACTGCCAAGCTAGGAAGCACCTCTTCTTCGCCTTTGGTTATAAACTCACATGGCGACTCAGAAATTAATTAAACTAGAATATGCACACGCACACCCCAGGTACTGACTGGGTTCATTCAGGGTTAGGGTTTGGGTGCATGATCCTGGCCAGCGGCCTTCCATAATAATAAAAATAATGGGATAAATTCCTTAACACTGCCAGTGTGACACAAATCGGTGGACTTTAGCCAATCCTTTCTGAGCAGCCAGGGCAGTCATGATGTAGTTGGTCTGCTTGGTGAGGGTTTGATCACACTCCTTCCTCTGGGCAAGGGACATGATTCCCAACCAGGCCTGAGCACGGTGGCCCTTGGCCGTATAGCTCATCTCCACCGAAAGACCCACAGAAGGCCATTCAGCTCTGGAACCAGTGTCCGGAGGCAATTGAGGAAGGGCAAAGGCAAGCCAGCCGATACTCAACCCTCACAAGACGGATGTGTGATGGGCAGGGAGACCGATGGCTCTGGAAAGAGGGAAACAGCTGGTCCTCATGCCCTGGTACCATCCAGGCTGGTCCGCTGTAACGTGTCTCACGGGGGGCTGGCTTTAAGACCGTTTGGGAACTGAAGATGATGCACAGCACAGCCAGCCAAATATGAATGGGTTGTGTCACATGGACACTGCAGCCACTGCCCCAGGTGCCCGCCTGTTTCTGAGTCCAATTTAAAGTGCTGGCTTCAACTTTTACAAATGTAAATGATTTCTGCCTTTACTTGAAACAGCCTGGTGCATTCTAAGGTCGTGAGCAGATGCCTTCTTATCACCAAGGAGAGAGCCTTTTTGGTAGTGGCTCCAAACCTCTGGAATGAGCCTCCATTGGGAGTTTGTAAAGCTCATACTCCTGGCAGTCTTTCCAGAAAGACACATGCTCATTGGGCTTTTCTGAACTGTATTTCTGAACTGCTGGTTTTATCTGTAATAGCTGTTCCTATGTTATTAGTTTTTAATATTTGATATGCTTATTTTATGAAGGCCATTTTGGGAGGGTTTCCCCTTTAAAGGAGGCTTGAGATTGTTTTAAATTAATGAACCAATATCTTACGTATATATAGAACATGTGCTTAAATGAGAAGTTCCATCCATTTGTGTGTCAAGGTTTTGGCCTTGGGCCACCGTGGGGAACGCAATGGCCTCCATGAGGAAGCTCATGCTGGCTAAGCTTGCCCAGTTCCTGTTGAAGGTTTCCAAAGAGCCAGTGAAGGAGGAGGAGGAACTGTCTCTGTGCATGCAGGTCTGAGGTTGGGGACCTTCAGCTGGAGGATCTCCAAAGTCCCTTCCAACCCTTCGATTCCACTTGGGCGATGTCTGGGACAAGGGCCACATGGGCCATGCTGAGCCCACCTCCGTCCGGGTGTTTGTCGGGGAGCAACAGAGCGCATGGCGTCTGGGAGCTGGGATTGCGCTGGCTGGCAGTTGCTGCTCCACTCACAGGTTAAGCCTCAGACATTGCAAGCTCTCTCATCGGGCCCCGTCCACCCTGTGTGGCATTCAGGCTGGGCAGAAGGGGGATCGGTATCTACAGGCAGATCTCTGCATGATGAACGGTAGACTGCCAAAGGTTTCCAACGGCGAGCGTTCCACAGCAGTTCTGCAAAGGGAAGCTTCTCACTGTACCCCCACCATCTAAATTTTGCTAAATGGAAGGAAGTATGGAGGGACAGGGAAAACCAGGCGTGGATTTTTGTGAGATAGGACTGTGAGCCCACTGCTTCCCCTGTTTTTACTACTGATACGACATTTATATCCTTTTTGGATATAAATGGTTACTTTTGCGAGCCGTCCGGAGGCTGTGTAGCAAGGGGACAGCATATAAAAACTTTAAATAAATAAATATCCCAGCCTTTTTTGAACTTGCAGGGGATTCAAAGGGGGTTACCTGATCTTCCCACACTGGCTTCACAACAGCCCTGTGAGGTAGGCTAGGCCAGTGACCAGCCCAAAGTCACCCAGTGAACTTCATGGCTGGGGAGGGATTCAAAGCCAGGCCTCCCAAGACCCAGCCACAGGCTCGAACCACCACACCACCAACTCCTGCTCTCTCTTTAGAATGTATTGAATTTTATTGATGCAAACATGATTTGAGCCTGTATTTTTACATAGCTCCAAACCTTGTTTTCACCACTCAGATGCCACATGGAGCAATTCCATTCCCTCCAGGTTGAGCAAACTATGAACAGTCGAGTTCTACTTCTGAAAAGGAATTCCTGGGGCAGTACATGCTCAGAGGCACTCTGGTTCCCTCCCCTGGTCTATTTTAATGAGCAGTGGCTTTCCCAGGCCTCTGCCCCATTTCCTGCGATTCTCCTCATCTCTGGAGATGACAGGGAACTTCCGCAAGCAAGGTGTGGGCTCCACCCCTGAGCTACGCACACGCCACCTGTGCCTGGGTTCAGGCACCATGAGAGCCCATACTCTGGGGGTGAATATGGGTTGACTGTGGGCTCTTGCTAAACCATGGGTTGTCGAAACATGGGTTGTTGCATTGTCTGAATTCAGCTGCACCTACAAGACCTGCTTGGTTAATCATGATGAGAACCCAAGGCTTGTTGGTAGGGTTGCTCTTCATGGTTTATCTTGGTTGGGTTCAGACCACATGATAACCCATGTTTCATCAACAGCTCACATTCGACCCATACTCAGCCTGTGAATAGGGGTTATTGCATTGTCTGAACCCAGTCCATAAAATACAGAGAGCCAGCCATTCGATCAGTGAATGGAATTACAAGGCATTTCCCAAAGAGGCAGAACAAATAGGTAGGTCTTTAACATGCACCTAAATGACAGCAGTGGGTGGAAGTGGGGGGCGGCTGACTCTTTCCAGAAGGCAGCCTCCCCCTGAGTGCAACCACCAACAACACCCTGCTTCGTCTTGCAGCTCCACAGACCACATCCCTCCAAGGCATCATCAGGCTAAGCCTCCTTGGCTGATCTTAAATTCCAGAAGAGTCACTGTTATGGAAAACAATCCTTCAAGTACCCTAACAGTTGGAATGCTGTTTGTTGATTCATTACATTTCTAATCTGCCCAATTACCAATGTTCTCTGGGTGAATTGCAACCAGATTACACGTTCCAAATCGAAATGTCAAAATTGGACCCAGCAGCTCACTGGCCACCAGCACTGACGCTCCCGAGCGGCTCCGAGCTGCTGGCGTGTCACGGCCCATGTGGTCACAGGGGCAGCGGCTTTCCACCCCAGCCGCAGCGCCCGGGCCACCGCCGGAGGCGCCCCCGTGTGGAAGCCCGGTGACAGTCCAGCTGGGAGAGCCACGTGCCCAGGCTGCCCGACGCGGGCGCCGGACGGGGACCCGGCGGGCCCCCTGCCCTTACCTTTGCAGGCCTTGCGGTCCGTGATGGACTTGCTCATGTCGCGGTAGAAGCCCTCCTTGCAGTAGTGGCAGTGCCGGCCCGCGGTGTTGTGGCGGCAGTTGAGGCAGACGCCGCCGCTCTTCCGCCCCGAGAGTTTGTACAGCTCCATGTTGAACCGGCAGCGGCGGGCGTGCAGGTTGCAGTTGCAGGCTGCAAGGAAGAGGGGGACAAAGAGGAGGAGGGTTGCAGAGATGGCCACGCGCTCGCTCACTCGCTCGCCCGCCCGTCTGCCCGGCGGGGCCGATGGCAAGGATGGGCGCAGTCCCTCAGCCAAGGCCCCAAGGGCAGCGCCTTCCCATGGACAAGCGCCTCCTGCACTCGTCCCTCCTCTCCGCCCTGGAGAGGCGCCCTGCTTGCTCCCCTGCCGCTGGCCTGGCCAAGGCCTCCCCAGAGGTCTCCTCAGAGGAGGAGACGCTGGCCTCTTTCCTCCCTGGCTGCTTGTCCAGAAAGCAAGAGGTAGCCATGATGACAGAGATGACAGAGGCTCCTGAGGGAGGAGCCAGCGGGGGCCCCGGCCCAGTGACCCTCAGCAACCTGGGGCTGGCCACAAGATCCTGGCTATAAATGTGTGAGGCCGTTTCCAAAGCACAGGCCACCAAGACACAAAAGGCTTTGTGGTTCACTGTTGGATTGTCAGTTGCCCGCTCCCAATTAGGGGTGAAGGAATTTCTTCCGATCAGACACATCCAGATGCTTAGTTTTCCAGCGCTGGATTCGTTCCATCCCTGTTCCTTTTTACTGCCGCACAGGAATGTGTGCGTATCTTTGCCCCCATTTTGAAGGATGTGTGCCTTTTTCAAGTGTATGCCATTGTGTATACATGCACCCCTTGACTAAAGCCCATGCATTTCTCCACGTGCATTTTGCTAAAGGCGACCATCTTGCAGAGTGCCATTTTTGGCATGTTTTGCAAAACACACTGCCAATTCAATTGCAGACTGAAAGTTCTGTTTGGGTACATGTTTGGACCCAGGAGGAGCCAAAGGAGCAAGTCATGCATTAAAATGTGAACCCAAGGAATTTCCCAGCCAGTCCTAGTTCAGATGGGGCACAGCCAAAACATGGGTTATTCCTGACATCACTGCGTCCCCCAGTTTCTGGCCTCAGTTAGCCATGGCATTTGATTCGAACGAGCCACGCTTACTGCAGATGACAACATGCCCAAACCAGCGCCGGAAGCCTGCTCTGGGCTCCAGCTCCCAGGCAGTAGCTGCCGCTTGCCCAGCTGGGCTGCCAGAGCGAACAATGCTTATCATCAGCCAAGAAGCGGGAGAGGGAACCGGACAGCGTGAGCAGGCGAGAAGGAATGAAGACATGAAGCGAAAGGAAAGCCCCGACACCCAGGCCAGGCTTTGGCCATGGTGCCTGAGTTGGGCCCGCCTGTCAATTACTCGCGAAGCTGATTTCCCTGGCAGGAACCCTCCTCATCCCGCCGAGCCATCCTGGCTGACTAAAAAATGAAGGAAGGAAGACATGTCGCGCCGCTCCTGGAAAACAGGCAGCCTGAGTTAGACCTGCACAAATGGGACGCTGAACTGGCCTCCTTGGACTGGACCACTTCAGACTCCTGGGCATGTTTTGGGGTCTAGGGTGGCCACGTGTCTATTATATGGTGAACCATCCGCTATTTGAAGTAATCACCTGGACAGCAAATTGAACAAGAGCTATCAGCTCACCGGGGCACAGCCTTTCACATGATGGTGAGATTCACTGTATTAACGACTGAATAATAAGTATTATTATAAATAAGTATTATGGAGAGCCAGTGTGGTGTAGTGGTGAAGAGCACGGGACTGGGACTCAGACGATCTGGGTTCGAGTCCCCACTCGGCCATGGAGCCAACTGGGTGACTTTGGGCCAGTCACAGCCTCTCAGCCCAACCTACCTCACAGGGTTGTTGTTGTGGGGATAAGATGGAGGAGGGGAATGGTGTAAGCTGCCTTGAGCCCTTTGTAGGAAAAAGGCAGGATATAAATCGAAAAATAAATAAATAAATAAATATTCTTATAATTGCATCCATAACTATGAATTGGCACAGGCAAATATTATGCAGATCAGCAATCTACTTTGTCCCCTCTTTGGAAGACACATTTCCTCTTTTTTCAGCAGGTCATAAGGGGATGAGATATAGAAATGCTGAGCATTTAAACATTAAATAACACTTTTTAAAAGCCTCCATTGAGCCCCAGATTCAATTATTATGGCCACTGGCTTACTTGACACCATAACGGAGGTCCCCAAAGAACCTGGGAAAAACAAGTCTCCCACTCCTGTTGGCTCCCAGTTCCTTCCAGACAGCCCATTGCATCCAGAAGCCCTTTCCCAGTGCCCATGCAAAGACCACTGCCTTGGACTGGGCTGTGGGGTGAGCAGGAAGAGTCTTCTGTCACTCACCGCCTGAGCTATTGAGGGAGGTTACGGAGCAGTCGGGGCAGAGGAGGCCCAGGTGGCAGAGGAATGCTGCTAAAGCCATGCCCTGGGCTTCCGCTCCCCCTGAGCTCGTGGTCCCTTGCCCCCTCTGATTAGCCCCAGAAGCCAAACTGGAGGAATGGGTGGTCCGAGTGACCTATACTGATCTGATTGGGGATTCTGCTGGTGTACCGTGCACACTTCTGCCCAACAGTCTCCCTGCCTGAGCTGACGGAGACCGTCTCGGACCTGGTGTTGAGGACTCCCAGGATGTTGGTCCTGGGGGACTTCAATCTCCATGCCGAGACTGTCCTGACCGGGGCGGCTCAGGACTTCATGGCCTCCATGACGGCCATGGGGCTGTCTCAACATGTCATTGGCCCGACCCATGAATGCGGACACACTCTGGACCTGGTTTTCTCGACGGGGCAGGAAGAGGGGATCTGAGGGTGAGGAATTTATGTCTGACTCCCCTGTCATGATCAGATCACTTCCTCGTGAGGTTTGAGCTCAAGAGTGGCTTTTCCCTCTGTAAGGGTGCGGACCCGATTGTGTTGGTCTGCCCCCGGAGCCGGATGGATCCGGATGGATTCCTGAAGGCCCTGGAGAATTTCCGATTGACAAGGCTGGTGCTCCTGTCGATGTTCTGGTCGAACTATGGAATGGGGAAATGACCCCCCATTGACACGATCGTGTCTAGTGACACGATTACTCCTAAGTGTCCTCTCCTGCCGGGCAGAGCCTACTCTTCCCCCTGGTATACACCTGAATTGCGGGCGATGAAGCAGGCTGGGAGACGGCTAGAGCATAGGTGGAGGAGATCACGGGATGAATCTGACCGAACACACTTGAGAGCTCACTATCGGGCCTATGCTGTGGTGGTGAGGGCGGCGAAAAAGAAATTCTTCTCCGTTTCCATTGCCTCCTCAAAATGCCATCCGGCGGAGCTTTTTCCGGTGGTACAAGGGCTGGTCTGTCCTGGCCCTAAGAAAGATCTGGTTCCACCCTTGAGGGCCCGCTGTGACAACTTTGCCAAACATTTCAGGGAGAAAATCGCTCAGATTCGTCACGAGCTAGATTCTACTAGTGATTCAGAGGCTTCTGGGGAGATACCAATGTCGCCGTCTGGTCCAAAATTAATAGATGAATTTCAGTTATTGCGGCCTGATGATGTGGACAAGGTGCTTGGATGAGTACGTCCCACCACTTGCCTATTGGACCCTTGCCCATCTTGGTTAATAAACAATGCCAAGCACGGGATTGGGATCTGGATCTTGGAAGTAGTTAATGCTTCTCTGAGGGAGGGTCGGGTACCTGCCCCTTTAAAGGAGGCGGTAGTCTGACCGGTCCTGAAGAAAGTGTCACTGGATCCAGAGATGGCCACTAATTATAGACCAGTGGCCAACATCCCATTTCTGGGCAAGGTGTTGGAGCGGGTGGTGGCGGGACAACTCCAAGCACTCTTGGATGAAACTGATTATCTGGACCCATTTCAGTCCGGCTTCAGACCTGGGTACGGTACTGAATCTGCCTTGGTCGCCCTGTATGATGACCTGTGCAGGGGAAGTGCGTCCCTGTTGGTTCTCCTGGACCTCTCAGCGGCTTTTGATACCATTGACCATGGTATCCTTCTGGATAGACTAGCGGGATTGGGGGTCGGAGGCACTGCTTTGCAGTGGTTCCGCTCCTATCTCAATGGTTGATTCCAGAAGGTGGTGCTGGGGGACTATGGCTCTGTGCCATGGCAGCTATGCCATGGAGTACCGCAGGGATCCATTTTGTCCCCCTTGCTATTTAACATCTACATGAAACCGCTGGGAAAGGTCATCAGGAGGTGTGGGCTGCGGAATCATCAGTACGCTGATGATACCCAGCTCTACCTCTCTTTCTCAACCAATCCAGGTGAGGCAGTGGCTGTGCTGAACGGGTGCCTGGCCGAGGTAATGGGCTGGATGAGGGCCAATAAACTGAAGCTCAATCCAGACAAGACGGAGGTCCTGTTGGTTGGCGGATCGGGCTTCCGGGAGGGTGAATTGAACCTAGTCCTGAACGGGGTTGCACTCCCTCTTAGGGACAAGGTCCACAGCTTGGGAGTGCTCCTTGACCCAGAGCTTTCACTGGAAGCTCAGGTGACAGCGGTGGCGAGGAGCGCTTTCTTTCAGCTTCGGCAGATCCATCAGCTGTGCCCCTACCTGGAGAACGACTGCCTGGCGACAGTGACACACGCGTTGGTGACTTCCCAACTTGACTTCTGTAACGCGCTCTACGTGGGGCTGCCCTTGAAGGTGGTCCGGATACTTCAGTTGGTTCAAAATAGAGCTGCCAGGCTGTTGACGGGGACTGGGCGTTATGTTCACATGACCCCAGTCCTCCGTCAGGTTCACTGGCTTCCCACTGAAGTCCAGGCCCAATTCAAGGTGTTGGTGATGACCTATAAAGCCCTAAACGGCCTGGGTCCTGATTACCTGAAGGAGCGCTTACATCCATATATGCCCGGCCGCCCCTTGAGAGGCCCTTCTCCGGGAACCCTCTGTGAAAGAAATTAGGAGGGTGGGTACTCGGAGGAGGGCTTTCTCTGTGGTGGCGCCCCACCTATGGAATGCTCTCCCCAGAGAGGTCCGCCTGGTGCCATCGTTATTTGTTTTTCGGTGCCAGGAGAAGACCTTTTTATTCAAATGTGATTTTAATTGTTAATATTATTTATCATTTTATTCTTTGGCCAGGGCAACTTAATTTATAT